ACCGTGGCCATCTCTCCTGCAGCGCATGGCAACTCATCAGTGCAGGTGTACAGTAAAAACGTTTGTGTGTCGGAGTCATGATAGAAACAGTCTCAGCGTTGGTAGATAGAAATATATACGTACCACACGAGAACATCGCTTCTCACATAGAGATGCACGCAATGAACTGGCTGAGCGGGAAAAGGGATGCGGGCAAATGGTATCGTGCGTCACGCTGTCAGCTTGTCGTTGCCAACAAACTGAGCAGTGCCTCTCCCTCTATCTCTCGCTATCTATCACGTCTTTCCCCGGTGCTTGGATGTGTATGGACCTCCATACAGACACACACAGAGAGAGAGAGAAAGGGGGGTGGGGAAAAAAAAAAACAGAAAGGAAGTAACAAGGTTTAACAGGAGGCAGGTTCACCATTGAAGATAGTTTTTTTTTTGGACTGACGAAGAGAAATAGAGCGGCGGAATAACAACTACGCAACGAACAGGACAACGACACACACACAAACAGACAGACTTATTCATAAGGATGATGCTCAAGCGAGTTGCTTCGAGGGCGCCATTTCCAGTTTCGCTGGAGGCCCTGCCCTGGTCGTCGCGCGGCGCTGAGCGTGTCAATGGGAAGCTCAAGAAGAGTGGGACAGTGGGGGCGAATGACGACCGCATGCTTTCTGTGGAGTTTGCGGCGCCCGAGCAGGCAGCGGAGGGTTTGCCATTTGGCTTCAAGAACGAGGCAGGGCGTGTCGCGCTGGACTCGGAGCGGCGGTGCCTTTTTGCGGGACTTGGAACGAAGCCCACCGTGTGTGACTACCGACTGGCGGTGACGAACGCAGTGCGGGAGGCGCAAAAGCTGCAGGCCTCTGCGCTGGTGCTCAAGTCGTTGCCAAACAGCGTGCATTCCATGGGGGACTTGTTCCAGGAGCCCGGCGTCCTGCCGTTGGAGGACGTTGTGGAGAAGACAGCCGCCTTCGCCGTGACAGCTGCCTACAAGTACGATCGCTTGCGCTCCAAGCAGGCTGGCGAGGAGAGCGGTAAAACTCCAATGGGGCTGTTTATTGACTCAGAATCCATCGACGCCATCGCCCGCGGGAATGTCATCGGTGGCTGTGTTAACGAGGCACGAAACCTGGGCAACCTGCGCGAGGACGAGGGTATTCCGCAGCTCTACGCTGAGTGGATCGCGAGGGAGCTTGCCCCACTTGGCGTGAAGGTGCGTCACGTACTAAAGGGAGAAAGGCTACGCAGCGCGGGGCTAAACCTCTTGTACAACGTGGGGAAAGGCTCACGGCATGAACCGTACTTGGTTGTTTTTGAATACACCGGCAACCGGTATAGTGAGGAGGCAACTGCCCTCGTTGGCAAGGGCGTGACCTTTGACTGCGGTGGCCTGAACGTAAAACCGTATGGATCAATGGAGACGATGCATTTGGACATGATGGGCGCTGCGACGGTGATCTCCACCATCAAAGCCATCGCGTTGCTCCGCTTGCCGGTGAATGTTGTTGGCGCCGTAGGCCTTGTGGAGAACGCCATTGGTCCGGACAGCTATTTCCCCTCGTCTATCATCACCAGTCGCAAGGGGTTGACAGTCGAGGTGCTTAACACGGACGCGGAGGGCCGTCTCGTCCTCGCGGACACCCTCACCTTCGTGCAGAGGGATGCCAAGCTGACGAAGAGGCCGAACAGTGTTATCGACCTTGCCACCCTCACCGGGGCTGTTCTCATTGGCCTGGGAAGCCGACGGGCGGGGATGTTTAGCAACGACCTCCACCTAGCCCGGCAGCTCATGGCAGGTGGACGCAGCAGCGGGGACGAGTTGTGGCCGATGCCGATCGCTGAGGAGCACAAGAAGGCGGTGAAGGGTGGTCTGGCGGACCTGACGAACGTTTCCACCAGCAGGGAGGCGGGCTCCTGCACGGCCGCGGCGTTCTTGGGCAACTTCATCGAGGACGGCGTGAAGTGGGCCCATCTCGACATTGCAGGTGTGGCGATGGGTGGGGACAAACCGAAAGGGTTTCAGCCTGCCGGGGCTCCAGGGTTTGGTGTGCAGATGCTTCTGGACTACTTCCGCCTGCCGCTGGCGGACGGCACGGCTGCTACTGATGCCGCCGCCCCCGCCGCCGTGATCGACAGCAGCACAAGTCAAAAGAGCGCTGCTTCCAAGGAGGAGAGCGTCGGTGAACCCGCGCTGTTGACGGACGCAGAGGAGCCGAGGCGGAGGAAGCAGAATAGAAGGCCGGCGCCGACACGGAAGAGTGTGAAGGTGAGCCAGCAGAGGCAGAGCGCAGGGAGGCGGAAACAATTGAGCATAAAGGGGCGGATACCCACCAAGCAGAAGAAGGAAAAGGTAATGAAGCATAACAAAAGTGAAGGGTAAGGAGAGAAGGTGTGGCCGTGGAAGAGTGGAAACAATTAACGCTTTTGTTGGATGGGCTGGGGAAACGCATCTTGTGGTTTCCACACAGAGAGGGGTGTATGGCGCAGGAAGGAGGCGGAGGCGACTAGGAGTGGTGCTGCGCAAATGAACACGTAAGGAGTGGAGTAGGAGTGAGAGAGAAGGAAGCTGCATACAGTTGACTGGCTCTGAAGCGGGAGAAGGGAACGCCCCCACAAGAAATAACAAAAAAAAAGAAAAACACATGAACAGAGGCGTTTGGACGTCCTACGGTGCACAGATGTGTGCGCGTGTGTGTGGCTGTGTCCCGCACAAATTTCTTTCTTTCTCTCTTTCTTACTCACTCGCTCTTCAGCCATGTATGCTTATAGACATAGACACGCATACCCGGAAACGCCGGTACAGAAGAATATACACATATATCTGTTTTTCTTCCTTCACTTTTTAAAGGGGAATTTCTGCACGTGTTTTACAAATACCATACGTGCAGGCTCGTTATACATATGTATGTGTGTATGGTGTGTATGCATATGTGGACATGTACGTATGTATAAGAAAAAAATGGGACGATGACTGTGTTCTGCTTGTTTATTCACTTGTATTGTTTCGACCTTCTTGTTAAAGGACATGATGTGCGTATCGGCATACCACGCGTCTCTGCCCTCGTTACACCTGAATAGCCCTCTTATTTTTCGTCTTGTTATTGTCGGACATTTTTTTTTCTTTTTTTTCCCATGCGTTTCTGTGTAATGGAGCAGCTTTGGCCCATCATCCGTAAGTGTTTGTCGTCACATTACACATGTCACATTTCATGCCTCCTCCGCTATGCCTCACATGTGCACAACGAGAGAGGAGTGTGTGTGTGTGTGTGCGCCTATTGTGCAGTGCTTGTAGTCAGTGTGAGGGGCACGACGCATAACGCGGCATTCACCCCGCTGCCCACTCCTTTTTTTTTTTTGTTGTTGTTGTTCTTATTGAGGAGCGCACGGAGTTGCAATTTCAAATCCGCTTTTTCTCAGTCTCTCAACACATACACGTATACAATTACATATATACATATGTGCGGTGCCAAACCAGGGCTGATTTTCAACAAGTAACGTGCCTGCTCCCCCGCTGCGTCTGCGGGGAGTGGGTGGGAAGGTGACGGACCCAAAGAAAAACAAAAACAAAACAAAACAAAACAGCGTTAACTCGAGCAAAAAGCAGGGGGAGGGGTTGTGGAGAGATAAGTGAAGACACAAATACAAACGTACATACATTCACTTTTTGTTTGCGATCCGGTGCGACATCGAATGTGCCGCATGGGTGGGTGTCTTGCCGCCAAACTGTGTACTTCCTTTGCTGCTACCAATGCCGCATCACTTCTTCTTCCTTCTTATTATTTTTTTCTGCTTTTTACAGTGGGCATTGTGTGGGCGGGCAGGCGCGATGGCGTATGAGTCTCCAGCGCGGCTGAAGTGGGCCACAGTAGTCTTCTGGAACGTGCTCGACCCCGCCTTCCGCACGCACTTCAAGTACTACCGCAGGAAGGTCGCCGTGGACCGCTATCTCGAGCGCAAGGGTGCTCTCTTCAACATTGCCGTCGGCCTGACCTTCGGCCTCACGCTTTACTTCACCGTCGTCTCGAAGTTTCTATTGCCTGCCTCGGTGGTGTCGGAGCACTCAATGGAGGACAACGCGAAGGAGGTCCTACGCACCATGAAGTGCGATACCACAAAAGAGCTCCCGGCGTTTCTCCTAATGCGGGCAAAGCGTGAGATTATTGGAAAGCTGCACGTTGCTGCGGACAGGGCAGAGGTGAAGCGGCAGCGGGAGGAGGTTGCGGGGCTGCTTAGGACCTTGAAGGAACAGCAGGAAGGCCCTGCGCTAAGGTGAGGATAAGGAGTTCTCCCTCCTCTTCTCTTTCTCTCTATCTCTGTCCCGCTTTCTTGGTATGACGTGTGTGTGTGTGTGCCTGTGGTATGGTGGCAGTGCATCATTCTCCACCAGCTGCGTGAACGGGTTGAAGCGACTGCTGCGCGTTTGAGCGACTCCCACATTGTTGTTTTCCTTCACATTTTTTTTTTTTGCTTTGACTAGCGTGCGTTGATTTAAGTGGACTTGAACCTGAGGCATTGATGTGTTCTGAACCCGGAGTTGCCGGCGGCGGCGGCTGAGATCCCCAGTCCCACCTCGCAGGCGACGGATATGCATGGAGCCCGGATGCGTGCACGTTGTGGGGTCGAGAGACACAAACTTCCCCCTTTGGGGGAAAACTGACGCCGTTGTGACGAGAGTGCCTTGTGTTGCCTAACGCTGAGACGGGGCCAGCCGTCTGTGGTAACCCGTCTTACCCACACCATGACCCGTTCACATTACTTTAATACACATATAGATGGATATGCACGTGTTTGGCGATTTCTCACAGTGATTATTGTCCTACTTTGTCTTTGTTTTTCCTCCCTCTTTTTTCCCCTTCTTATGCCCTCGCTCGCCTCCTGCCGCCGTGCAAGCTGCCTGAAGCATGAGCTGTGCACCTCTCTGTGATCCGCTTTCCCTCATGTCATGTTTTGCTTGTCTTATTTCACTTTACTTCCGATGTCGGTGGGCAGAGTTTGCAGCGTGTTTTTAGCTATAGACAGTGAAGGAAGGGGCAGAGCGTGACGTTTCAGCCACTCTCTGTCTTTCTCCTTCTGTTGCTCAACCATGCTGACATCGTCACGATTTCCAGGGCAGGCTAATGTACCTGCTGCTGGGTGTTTGATGGATACTACGGCAAATGACGTTCTGGTCACATGCAGGCGGATGCAGGTTCTGTCGTACGTACTGGCGGAGATCAGCAGTGCGGCGATGCTTTTGGACGACTACTTGAGGAACATCTTGAATATCCCGCACAGGCTGCTCACCGCATGGCAGAGCATTGCTGTCGCAGCGAAAGCTCGAGCGGCGACCCAAGCAAATTGCAGTGGAGCGTTGCGGAATACTCCCCTTCACGGCGGCCAGGGAGAGAAATCGGCGCAACCCACACCAGCGGAGACACACGACCCTAACAATCCTTGCATCAATGCCGCGCCTTCGCAGTCGCCGCAGGGACCCACGAGCCGCAGTCCGCCCGTGGGTGAAAATCTGCCTACACAACTTCACGCATGTCAACTTATGGAGGACAATGCGGTACGCCAAGTGGAGTTGATCCGACGCGCTGTGGTGATGGCGCTGTTTCAGCAGTACCTGAAGGTTGTCGTGGACAATAGCACGGATGACATCGTACTGCGGGACTGGCTCGGCTCCAGCCTTGCACCAAACACGACACGCTCCCATGAGCGGCGTCATCGCACGCCAGGGAAGGACGAATATCCATTTTTGGACCTTCCGGATGACGAGGAAGAGCACGCGGATAAGGACCGTGGGGAACTGAAGCCTACGGCGCAGTGCAATGAGTGCCACCCACTCGGTGGCAACGTCGCCTCATCGCCGCCGTCACGACGATCGAATTTGACCTCCGAATACGGCAGTGACGTTAGGCGTGAGGATGGGGTGAATGTAAGGATTTCAGTCACTTTGCAGGCTTTCATGCGAGCAGCCGTTGCTCTCAACCCCACCACCTGCGCCCTGCAGCTGATCTCCCGCTGCATCATATACGCCCGGCACGTTTGTAATGTAGACGACGAGAACGCGACGTCGGTTGACGCGACGGGGGGCGAGAGTGGGGCATTTTGCGTGGTTGTGGCAAGCCGGGCTGTGGGACCCTGCGAGCACTCCGGGCCCTGCTTTGGTAACCGAAAGTTCTTTTTTGTGCGATGTCAGGAGTCGGAGTTGCGGCACAGCAGAGACGTGTCAGAATCAAAGTTGTGCGAAGGGAGCTCCACGTTGGCTCCGCCCGCCCGCAGGCCGCCTTTGCGGCGTTACGCCAGTCATAGCGGAACTGTTGCTACTTTGGGCGGGCGCCGGATGTGGAATTGCATGATGCGTTCCTTGACGCGGACGGTGGCGGGGCAGACGCCGGGGCGGCAGAACACGATGACCTCCGGCCCTGGCCTGACGCAACCGGTCCCGTGCGTGCCATGGCGGCGCGCGGCCCGGCGGGCTGCTGAGCGTCGCCCACGGGTCGAGATGACACGGTTGGGGGCTCCATGTTTACTGCCTGCGGTTGCCCGCAGGCAAGGTGAGGCGAGGTTCAGCAGCATGCAGAGCCGCACGACGACGCCTCGGTCGCGTCCGACGACAAGGACCAACGACGGACGTTATGGTGGTTTCGATTATAAGCAAGATCGACACCTACATAATCTTCACCAGCACTATGCTGACGGTGGCGATGAAGACGACGACGATGATGACTCCACTAAGTCGTGGCTTGTGATGCATTCAAATCGTTGTAGTGCCACCGGAACATTTTTTGGCCCTGCAACCTCATGCAATGGGCGGCTCATCACAGAGGCTGCAACACCGTTGGCATATGCTTCGTCAGAAACTTCGACTGCCGACAGCGCCAACAGCTTCGCTGTGCCCTTTGCCCTGGCCATCTCTGTACCGCCCAACGCTGGCCATGACACAAACTACCGGGAACCGCAGCCAACAGAGCAATTTACGGCCACCACGGAGATGTTGTTGGCTGGTCAAACCGCCTTCGCAGAGGAGCTTCTTGCCAGAATTGACTTTTGGTGTGCTCGGGGACAGCCGCGCCGCTGCTACTATAATTCCGCCCTCAGGGATGGGTCTCAACCCGCGACGGTAAGTCCTACAGTAGATGCGAAGACGGGGGTGAATGCGACTTTTGCAGCTTCATACACGACCGATTTTGATTTGAAGGGGGATATGCCATTGAAGCTGCTCTTTTCGCAGGTTGGAGTCATTCGGTTTCGGCCTGTGGAGGCCTCCGTGTACCGCAACGGCAAAGGACAGCAGCTTCTTATTGAGGCACTTGCCGATGCCACGGAGGTCGTCATTTGCGCCGTGCGTGAGAGTTGCCCACACTTTGGCTGGCACGGTCACGCCGGGGGAACCGAGGAGCAGCTGGGCGGATATGGCGCATCCGACGACTGCACCCTGTCAGACGAGGAGGATCTGCTTAACTGGGGACGCCACAACGACGTGGCCATGACGGTCTCTGTGCGGTGGGCGCAAGGTGAGGTAGCGACGAAGGATGCGGATAACGTCTGTGACAATGGCGGCAAGAACGCCTCAGAGAAGGGGCGTCTTCCAACATCCCACGTGGCGGAGCGCCGGCTGCTTTCCACGCGTGAGAAGCACCAACGCAGGAGTGAGCGACTGGCGATGGAGTTTCGCTTGGCGCGGGCTCAGCGCCTAGATGCCATCCTCGTAGATCAGCGGACAGCCAACCCAATCGCGGCGTTGGTTTTGCTTCAGGCGCAACGAAAATATAGTGGCGCGAGTTTGGGGGAAAATGTTCTGCAGGATGCCGCCTTCATTGTGCATTCATTCAGCCACTGCGTTATGCCGCTGCTGCGGCATTTGCGGGATGAGAAAGTACTGATGGTTGACATGGATCGTACGCTGGTGGATAACGCCATTCTTGTCAGGGATGGACGTACGTCCATTTCAAGGCAGCAGGGGAGCGGGACAACGGGAGAAAATCAGAACCATTTTGAAATGCAGAAGGAGGTGCGATACCTCGTCACAGGTACACCTTGCCAAGGCATGCGTACAGAGACGATTTACGTGCGTCATGGGGTGCGACAGATGCTGCGGCACTTTGCTGTTGAATGGGGCATTCCTGTTGTACTCGTGACTAAATCCTCGCGTCGTCGCACGGAGGCTATTTTGTCACAGGTGCTAGACCCGGGTGGGGAGTTATTTCCACTAGGGTGTGGCCGCATCTTTACAGCAGAGTTGCTTCTGCGTGCGGCGTCTGAGGGCGCATCTTCCAGTGAGACTTCTGCTTTGCCACCGTCACCTGGTGGGGGCGACGACGAGGAGAGGTGGCGGTCACAGGAAAGCCTTGTGAGGGCGCGGAAGTCTACCACAGCTGTGCTGCAGGAGTTAGAGCGTGCACACACGCAGAGACATGGACCGTCTCGTTTGTCTCCCAAGCCGCGGACGGTGGCGGTGCTGGACGACAGCCCACAGGTGTGGGTAGAGGCGGATTGGCCCTGCACCGTCGCGGTTGCTCCATACACCTTGGACCGTGTGGACCCGCAGGACTACTTTACACCGAGTGGTCTGATTGCATCCATGTTGTTGTCACTGCTTTACAGCAGGTGTTGCGTGCGGCGCCGCACACAAGGGTGTGAAGAAAATGAGGGCAACCCGAAGACGGAGGCGGTGCGGCAGGGAGGTGGTGATAGCGAGATTAAGATGAAAACGGCTGATTACCTCACTCCACTGAGGAACTCAATTGTTGACGATGACGATGACGATGACGATGACGATGACGATGACGATGACGATGATGCTAATCGTGTTGTCCGGAGGAATGCTCTGGAGATGCCTTGCGCTGGACACCTCGGCCCAACGGCAGGCCGTGACCACTCCCGTGCACCTTTCCCAAACCGTGACGCTCTGGCAGCGGAGGATATGGTGTCTGCGGAGGAGGCGGTGGTGGAGGAGGCGCATGAGTGGCGCGAGGGTGGTCGCTGGGCCTCCGCAGAAGTAGAGGATGTGACGCCGCTTTAGGAGCACGCCTGTCTATACACAGACAGAGAGACAGACAGACAGACAGAGACAGAGACAGAGACAGAGACAGAGACAGAGACAGAGAGAGAGACAGAGAGAGAGAGAGAGATGGCTCCAACGGCTCATACGTGAGCAGCACGCACACACGTCCATATAAACACACACCCGGCCACGTGCAACAGCGGTGGTGCGTGCTTGGAGGAGTAGTAGAATCAAGGGTTTAATACGTTAATGTGTCTTTAAACATATCTGCATCTGTGCACGTATTTATCCTTTTTTTTAAAAAAATAAAATTAAAAAAACATACACACACAGTTTTCTTTTGCTTTTGTTTTGTTCCTGAAGTCGCAGTACATTATTTTAGTCTATGCTTGAATGACCGTCATAGCTTTCTCTGTTTCTTCTGCGGCCCCCACCCGATTTTCCTCCCCTACCCCCCATCTTCTCCCCCTTCGAAGGCCGTTGTACCAATTACCCTCTTACTCCTTTTTTCTTTCTTTCTCTTTTTGCCTTTCGTTGCACCTCCTGATGAGCCTGCAGTACATCACAGGGGAAAGGTTGCGTCAGAGCCTGCAGCGCTCCACACGCAACGGCCAAGGAAAAGGTGGTAGTGCACAGGGTGACAGGAAGGGCGGGCAGGCGGAGGGGGCCATGAAGAACAAGTACGACTTGCCAGAGAAGGTGCGGTGGTACCACACGCTGTGGGACATGCGTAACAAGGAGTTCCGCAGGACTTTTGTGACGAGCAAACGCCGCCAGTGGCGTCTGTTTTGGAAGTACGAGAGCCATCTGGTCTACGAGCGCGTCATCATGGGCTTTATTGTGGCAACGGGACTGTTTTTGATGTCAAACGCGGACCTGACGGTGGCTCTGTTTCGGCTGCCTACCGAGGACGTCAACGAGCTGCTTAAGCAGGACGTCTGGAAGAAGTATAGGAACGAGATCAACGAAAGGAAGGAGCACGCAAGCAAGATGCTCGAGGAGTCTAGCTACATCCAGGACAAAAACAAACCCCTCTCTTCGTAGACGGTCTGCGTGTGTCCGTTCCTGCCTTCGCACTGGGACGGGGACGACGACGACGCGGAGGATGAGGGTAGTAGCGGCGGTGGTTTCTGTGCAGCACGTGCTGGTCTACGTTTGTGGATGCATGGAGTTCGGCACTCTGCGTGTTTGTGTGTTTCATATTTTTATATTTTTTGCTCCTTCTCAGCTTGGCCGCCAATAAAAAAAAAAAAAGAAAACGTGCAGAAGGAGCGAAGTCCTTTGCCCCTCTACCCCTTCTTTGCCTTTTTTTTTTGTTTGTTTGTCTTGTGTGTTGTTTCTAATTTTTTGTTGCCCTTTTCTTCCCACTTGAGCGCTCCCCGCGCACACGGCGATGCGACAGCATCACTTATACACACATACGCACACGTGAAGGTAAGGGCTCTCCGACGCCGCGGTCTGCAGAGGCGAGGTAGTTATGGCCATTTCCCGATTTCGTCACACGCATGCTGTTTCTGCGAAGCACGACAGACACTTCACGAACATCAACCCTACCAGCGCAATATGGGACTGCAGTAACATGATTGCCTGCAACGACCGCTTTCTGGCGGTGCCGTGGGCACAGCTTGGCAGCACGGCGGTGCTACGCCACAACGACCACGGCAAGGTGGCGGCCAACCCACCGATACTGTCGGGCCAGGAGGGCCCCATCATCGACCTCGCCTTCAACCCGTTTGACGCCACAAAGCTTTTTACGGCCAGCGAGGACGGCACCATCATGGGATGGAACATTCCCGACGAGGGTCTCACGCGGAGTACCAGCGACCACCTGATACACCTGCAGGGGCACTCCAGGAAGGTGGGAATCATGAGCTTTCACCCTAGCGCGCGCAACGTCCTGGCCTCCGCTGGAGCGGACATGGTGGTGAATGTCTGGGACGTCAACAGTGGCGAGGCGGGGGAGGTGCTTAAGTGCCACACAGATCACGTCATGTCGCTTGAATGGAACCTGGATGGCTCACTGCTCTGCTCCACCACAAAGGATAAAAAGGTGAATATCATGGACCCCAGGCAAGGCGGCATTGTTGCCTCCAGCCCTGCTCACCAGGGTGGCAAGATTCAACGCTGTGTCTGGGCAAAGCGGAAAAATCTTATCATGACCATTGGGTTTAACATGACACAAACCCGGCAGGTGATGGTGTGGGATGCCCGCAACATGGTGTCGCCGCTGCAGACGGAGGATCTGGATCAGGTCAGTTGTATCATGCTTCCCTTTTTTGACGAGGACACAAACCTTCTGTACGTTGGAAGTCGCGGGGACGGAAGTATTCGCTTCCTCGAGCTCATGAACGGCCAACTTGTGACCTGCTCCGCCTACGACTCGGTGGAGGCGCACAAAGGGCTCTGCATGTTTCCCAAGTGGTCTTTGGACACGCGGCAGTGTGAGATTGCCCGGTTCTACGCACTCACCTCCAGTTCCGTTTACCCCGTGCAGATGTTTCTCCCACGTAGGCTGGCAGACAGCGAGCTGCAGACCGACGTGTACCCGCCAACCTTTGCGGACACGCCCGCAATCACAGCGGCGGCGTACTTCAATGGGGAAAACAGCGAGCCACTCGTTACAGACATGCAGGCCGTGTTTGATGGAACGGAGCGTGAGGCGAAGCGAGCGGCGGATGCAACGCTGTTGAGTGCAACACACGTTCAGGTGGCGCTGGAAGAAACACATACGCGCAGTACCGTTCCATCCACGTACGCAGATCTCGTAACGATGGTTCCGGGATCCACGGAACCCAAAGAGGATGAAAAAGCCATGGAGGAGCGATGCGCCGAGTTAGCCGCGCTTGCGCTGGAGTTGCAGCAGCAGGAGGCGGAGATGAAACGGTGCGAGGAGGAGGCTGACAAGAAACGGCAGGTGGTCATGGAGACAGTCGCCAAGATGCGTGCCATCGCCTTGAGGGTTTCTCGGTAGTGCTGCATGCTTGTGTACACGTAATGCGTGGCTTCGTGTGGGGTCCCGTCTTCCAATAACACCTTTATGCGAGCACACACTTTTCTCCTTAACTCTTCTTCGTTTACTGCCACTGCCGCCTCTAAGCCCAGCCAAATGTTGCTAGATAAAATCTTTTGTTGCCCGTGCACCTGCACATGTTGTGTGTGTGTGCGCCACAGTTGATGTTTTTGTTTTTGTTTGTCGTTTTGATGCACCTTTTATTTTGGCTGGGACCACCGCACGGTGACCTCCGTCCTCGCACAGTCTCAGCCTTCTCAAGGGACGCGCGGCCACAGATCAGAAGCCGAGAAGAAGAAGAAAGATACTGGCGATGTGATGCCAGCCTAGGCGAGAGTGGCAGAACAGCAGCAAATAAAAAAGACAAAAAAAGACTCGAACAAACGGGAGGTAGGAAACACACAAAAACTGAGTATCGAAAATGATATACACATACAAATACATATGCGGATATATATATATATATATATATATATATATTGAGT